GGAGAACTTGTAACGGATGACGTAGATCATTGCTTTACACAATTTCTTCCATTTTACTTATTGCTTTCATATTTGCATTTTTTATGTAAATTAATCTATTTTGTCTTTACTTACTTGAATTTCGATTAATTCTTCGAAAAAAATTTAAAAACTAAGTCACTCCCTCTTGGGCTATTAGAAAGTACAGAAACATCCATTACCAAGGCACCAATTCAAGTTAAGGCTCTCGCGCCTTCCATTCATTTTTTCTCAAAAGCTCAAAAAGAACAAACAAAATGCAAATTTTGAAAAAGTTATTGATGTTCTCAAGAAGGTTCATGACAATGTTCTGTTCATTGGTGTAATATTACAAATTTTAAGCTACATGAATTTTTTGAAATAGATGTTGACAAAGAAAAAAAGCTTCTGAAGTATGAAATTGTGGCACTAACGGAGGAAAATAATGTAAAAGTACAAAAAAATTTCCTCCCAAGTTAAAGATCTAGAATTTTACTTTGTCTATTTTAATTGGAAATTCCTGCTCTATTAATGCATTGTGTGACACGTGTGCTAGCATAAATCTAATGACATATTTTTTTTATAGAAGATTGAGATTGGGTGAAATCAAATCAATATCAATAATGTTACAACTAACTGATACAACAATCGTAAGGTCACAAGACAAAATTGAGGATGTGCTCATAAAAACGGAAATTTAATATTTCACGTGAACTTCATTGTGCTAGACATACAAGAAGATCGAGACATTCAGTTATATTGGGTTGGCCAATTTTTAGCAACGGATCAAACCCTAATTGACATGAAGAAGGGTAAGATAATATTGAGGGTAGAGGATATGCAAGAGATATTCAAAAAATTAATTGAAAACATATAAAATAGTTTTTTAGAGACTGTATGACAGAAATTAAGTGTAAAAAAGAAATATTTTTCAAGAAATCAAAATCTAACAAAGACTTAGCCCTTGTTGGGTAGAAATTAAAATTAAAATTTTAATCTAAATCAAAGTCAACAACTAATTTTACCATACATTTTATCGGACTCGTAACTTTTCAACAACATATTTCATCAACTTTTATCAAACTCTACAAAAAATATGATTTTAATCCCCGCCAAATAGAAACTTAATGTATAACCTATATTATGAGACAAACTGATCTCCCGCCAAAATATTAGCTGGAATTGATCTCTTACCCACAGAGATCAAGAGACATAATGTCTACCACTGACGTAGAGACGACAATTTTCCCCGCCCTGCCCCGTAAAGAATTTAAAAAAAAAAAAAATTGTTTTGTACATTATTTGTTTTGGACATTTTTTTTGTTTCAAATACTTGATTTGAATATTGATATAGTTAGTTTGAACATTATTTGCTTTGGATTTTAAAATTTTGAATTTGTATTTTAAATAAAAAAAAAAAAACAAATGGGGCAAGTCCTCGCCCCGTACCCGCCCCACCCCGCCCCGTCTAAGGAGGGGTGGGGGAGTGGCGTGGTGGGACAGGGTGGGGTGAGGGTGCCCCGTCCCAAACCCGCCCCATTGCCATCACTACACTGACGTGACAATCAACAATTTTATTTTACTTCATTCCCCGATCGTTGACGTGGCGCAACGATGGACATTATAACCTTCTACCCACTGTGAGCACACACTTCTCTCTTTTTTTCATCACATGTAACTATTTGTCCAATAAAACCACTTGTCATATTTGGAGTAGAAGGTTTGGATGTTAGCCAATCAAGTTAGAGGAGAATCATTCCACAAACGTCACCACTTCGCCCAAAATAAAATAAAATAAAATAAATAGTTAGTGCGGTTAATGAAGGAAAGGCGAATTCCGAATTTCTATATATTGTTTGGGTAGAAATGTAAACAAGCTGATCCGGCTCGCGAAACGAAAGTCACGGCTCGGGGCAAAAAACAGTTCGAGCTTTTTCGGCTCAAGTCGAGCCAGAGCTTTGATCACAAAATCAAGGCTTGACTTGAGCTTTTGGCTTCGGCCTTGCCGAGCCAACCCACGTGCCTTGCCCAGTCTATTCTTTTTTTTTTATTTATTCATGAAATTTGAAAGTTCATTTTTTAAAGTCAAATTTTTTAAAAGCATATTCTACCATTTAAAGAGTATTTATAAATTTAGAGAATAAAAATTTTTAAATACTCCAAAAGACTATTTATATTTAACACCTAAGTTTAGTACACAAAAGAAAAAAATATTTATTGTTTTTCTCTATATTTTAATTTTACTAGCTCAAGCCGAGCTAGAGCTCGTTCAAAAAATCAAGGCTCAACTCACGTTTTTGGCTCAGACTGCTTGAGCTGACTTTAAGTCAATTTTTTTTAACAGCTACTTGTAGGCAGTTGCATGCATGCGACCCGTGGCTAAAAATCACAAATTTTATGAAACCCATAATTTTTTAACTATACATTTCATTAATTTTTATTAAAATTTCCTAAAAATTTGATTCTAATTGCTACCAAATTGAGCTAAATTAGAGTATTTCCAAAAGATTCTCTATTGTTGAAGAGTATATTCTACAATTCAAAAGCATTTATAAAATTTGAGAGTAAAATGTTTTTAAGTACTCTAACATGCTATTTATATTTAACATTCAAGTTTACTACTTAAAAAAATATTATTATTTTTCTCTATATTTTATTTTTACTAGCTTAACCCAAGCTAGGACTTGATCGAAAAATCAAGGCTTGACTCGAACTTTTGGCTCGGGCCTTGCCGATCGAGCCACGGACTGCCCGAATCGTCTCTTTTTTTTATTCATGAAATTTGAAAGTTCTTTTTTTTGAGTCAATTGTTTTTTAAAAGCTACTTGTAGGTAGTTGCACGAAACAAACAGCTACTTGCACGGGCCAACGCCCAAAAATGAGGCTCAACTTGAGCTCTGCTCGGTCTTTTTTCAGACCAAGCCAAGGGGTGTCTGAACTAATGAACCCAATTGACATCCTCAAGTTTTGATATTAGCCAATCAAGTTAGTGGAGAACCATTCCATAAAAGTCACCGATTGGCCAAAATAAATAAATAAATAAAGTTAGCGCGATTAATGAATTAGATGCCAATTTCGAATTTCTGTCCAACAACATAAATTTTAAAAAGTATTGTAAAAATTAAAATTTCATCAATTTAAGAGCATGTTTGAGCCCCAAATTTTTTTTTTTTGGGCCAAAAATATATTTTGAAATAGTGATTTGATGAAAAAATGTATGGTTAAAAAATAAAGAAAGTTTTGGGTTTGCATGTAATATTATTTATGATCTAAATATAACAATTTGCTTGAAAAGTAATTATTATTTAATCAAACTAATTTTCTATGCACACATTTTGTATTATACGCACGCATGGTCCACAACTTATAATAATGTAATCACTTAATTTTAATTAATCACTTTTCCAATATGTGCATTGATAATGTTTTGAACTTTTAAGTGATTATAATCTGTTAATCCCACAAAATGTATAAATAGCTATAAATCCTACAAATAATTGAATAAAAATAATGTTTAAACATATTAAGTCCCTATTTGGTAGTGATTAAAATTTAAGATTTAATTTAAGTCAAAGTTAACAATTATTTTAATCACAGTTTATGAGACCTATAATTTTTTTAAACATACATTTCATTAACTTTTAGTAAAATCTACTAAAAATCCGATTTTAATCTATACCAAATTGGATTAAATTAGAATATCTCCAAGAGACTCTATATTTTTAAAGAACATATTTTACAATTTAAAGAGTATTTATAAATTTAGAGAGTAAAAATTTTTAAATACTTCAATAGGCAATTTATATTTAACACTTAAGTTTTCTACTCCAAACAAATATTTATTGTTTTTCTTTATATTTTATTTTTACTAGTTTCTTTTCAAATTATTATATTATTTTCTTATATTGAAAATTGAAAATATTTTGAATGCTTTTGATTATAAAGTTTGGATCTTTAATCTAAATTAAGGGTTGACTCTTTAAAATAAATAATATCTTTTAGAGTACGTTTGGTTGTCAATATATATTTTTTTTATCCAGATTCTTACTTTTGTGCTATTTAATTGATATTTTTTTCATGAAAATTATTTTCATACTTTTGGTTACATGATCATATTTTCCTCAAAACTAAGGAAAATAATCTCTTTAGGGGGAGTATAATTTTATTTTTCAGAGAATTTACTTTTTCTCGCTCTCTTATTCATCCTCCACTTTCACCTACCTATCAATAAAAAATAGACAAGTATAATATTTTCTAAATTAAAAATTATATCAATCAAATATATTTAATTAATAATTTACATACAAATAAGTTCTNAAGCTTAGTTTAGACCCAGCTAACTTGCAAGTGGCTGAGGACAGCCGGCTCCAGCGAAAATGAATAAGCCGATGAAGACAAACGGCTTGTGAACAGTAAAAAAAAACTCCCTCTTTTACTTTTAGTTAGAAGAAATAATGAGGGCAAAAATTGAAATGATTAATAAATGAAACGATGTTGTCCCCCTTTTATTGTGTCGTGAGAGACAGGTACAAGTTAGGGTTATTGATATCAAGGGACGCGATTCAAAGGCGCGTGAGTTATCAGACGAGCAGAGATCAAGGGTAATGGCACCACTCGTAATTTCTACGTCACACCAAGGGTAGTAGGATCATTTAGTTAAATGCTGGTTTTCAAAGGCCGGGCTCAGAGAAGGAAAATATTTCACAGGGGAAGAAAATATAGACTGTGAAACAACTAAGGAGAGAGAGAGAGCGAGAGGGTTGTGTTTGATGCTTCCTTCACTTGAATAATTTTATTGGCGGTTAGGGTTTTTCAATCGATCTGAATTTGAAACCCGAGCTGTGCCACACCATAATTTTCAATATTTGTTTCTAAAATATTCTTTTTTTCTCTCTTTCTAAACCCTAATTCTATTCCACTTCTCTGTGAATTGCCCCGCAATTCAATCTGTGCTTTTTGTACCGTGAATTCCACGGACTTCGTGAATAGGATAAGCTTCTCACATGGGCACTCAAGACAAGTCACCAAACGCTAACAATTCCATGCAGGTCAGTAAAAATTTGAAGAATTGGTAAAAGCTACTATATTGAGACCTAGAATTGAACCCATACCGGTTAATTTTTGCGAATTGAAATTCGGCTCTTCTTTTCGTTGCTGAAGCTTTATTTATACTGATTCTAGAATTTTTTGGCGGAGACAAATTCTTTCAGGATTCAATTTGTTTGCTTGATGCTGTGATTTGTTTTTACATCTATTTTTCTATGTAAGCGATTCCATTTGAGTTTTAGAAGTTTTCTTAAATTGTATTCGAGTGTTTGAAGTTCTGTTAAATTGTTCTACAAGTCTCCTATCCTACTCTTGCTGTCATACCTGTAAAGCTCCAGCTTATAATTTATGGACAATCATTGTTGTTGAGATTGTATTCTTGATAACTACTTTGGGAAGTAATTGATTACTTAATGAGATACTGTTTGATGGCAATTTTCATAATCTCCACCTAATATTATAGCTATTTGGGTTTGTATTATTATGTTTTCCTATCTTATTGGTTGTTCAATGTATACCTAAGTGCCGATATTTTTGGTCACTTCAATCAGACAATATTTTCATAATATGTCATATTGAAAGTAGAAATATGTTTTCTTATGTTTAACTACCTTATCGGTTGAATTCAAAATGTATCTGTATGCCGATATTTGCACACTCTTGGCCACTTTAGTCTGAAAAAATTTTCATAATTGTATAATATCGAAAATGGAATTTTGTTTTATTATGTTTATACCTTATTGGTTGAATTCAGTGCGTACCTGTGCGCCGATATTTGCACGCTGTTGGCCACTTCTGTGTAAAAATATTTCATAATTACATAATATTGAAAGTAGAATTTTGTTTTATTATGTTTATCTACCTAATGGTTGAATTCAATGTGTATCTGTGTGTAGATATTTGCAGAGTGTTGGCTACTTCAGTGAGAAAATATTTCGTAATTTTTAGTTGCTCATTATGTTTATCTACCTTAGTGGTTGAATTCAATGTGTACCTATGTACCTATAGTTGTGCAGCGTTGGCCACTTCAATTAGAAATATTTCGATTGCATAATATTTAAAGTAGAGTTTTGTTATGATTATCTCAAGCCAAGGATTTTGTGTGAATGTACAATCATGTTCCACTAGTTCAATACAATCAGCAGTTGAAGGCCATTGTCTTTGCTTTCACTCCTTAGATTTTTGAAAGATGTCATGTTACCATACATTTGTGTAACATTGCGCCTTCTAATATGTCCGTACATCCTAGAATTGTTGTTTCGGTTGCATTCATCTTATGAATTATGAACACTTTATCATCTAAAAACTCAAGACTTGGAGCCATAAAACATAGTAGGTTTGATATCTATTACTTATACCTCACAAGGATCTTTCGTAATAGGGAATTGTTGTAGCACCACCATTTCATTTGACCTGGTGTAATCCTATGCAGTACATCTCCTTCAGTTTCTTCTTTCTTGTTAATAAAAACCCTAATATTTAAAGCATTTACCTTTTAGGGATAACAAGATCTTCTATGGTATCTTCTTTATTATCCTTGTTCATACAATTAATAAAATGGCCTTTCATGTACTGTGGCTTGGTTCTCAACTAAAACCTTTAGATTCTAAAGTGTTGCTCATTTTATTCTAATTAACCAAAATTACACTCTCGACTAATAACTTGCATCATGGGACATTATCTTGAATATGTTATATTAGCCTGTCCATGAACAATGCAAAAAGTTAAGGACTTAATTTGGTGCAAGCCTATATTAATAGAGAAATCTCTACTATTACTGCCAGTGTCTACCACTACATCTCAACACTTGTAACTGTTCCATCATAAACATCCTTAATAATATTGATATATCTAATTGAAATGCTCTCTCTACCACCTACTGTGGACTCTCTAGGCCCTATCATGTGGAAAATCTTCGTATAATAAAAAAATGAATTATATGTTAAACTCAAGCTGGAGGCAGGAATGTACCTGTTAGGATATGACAAATTAAGATGCACACCATTCCTTCAGGTCCTTTCGTTATTATAGAAGTATTGTTAGATTGCTTCGATTGTTCAATTTTAAAATTAAAAACGAAATAACAAATATATAGAAGATGAATTTCTGAATCAACCACATTTGGCTGTAGCTCTATGCAGGACATGTTCATCTGGTTTTCATTGTTATCCCAATTGACTTATGGATCTCAGAGCTCTCACATTGTTTGATATAAATTTCAGCGTGTTAAGGTATACCGCCTGAATGAGGATGGGAAATGGGATGACCAAGGAACTGGCCATGTCACTGTTGATTATCTGGAGGTTTGACTTTTTGTATCCATCTCTCACTTAACTTGGTTATGTTGTGTAGTATAGACTGACCTCTTCCCTAATTTGATAATTGAAAACCATTTCATATTTATCAACTGCGCTTGAAATGCTGTGAATTGTGGGACAGAGATCAGAAGATCTGGGGTTGTTCGTTATTGATGAGGAAGACAATGAAACGTTATTATTGCACCGGATCAGCTCACAAGATATTTATCGTAAGCAAGAAGGTATGTTATGTCATACACTGTTTCTCCTTTCGAAATTTCCTTTAACTGTCTGTCACTTTATTCCCTTTTCCCTAGCTTTCTATTCATATGAACTTTGTATCTTCAGAAACAATTATTTCGTGGAGAGATCCAGAGTTTTCAACTGAATTGGCCCTTAGCTTCCAGGAGATGACTGGTTGCTCTTACATATGGCTAGTATCAGATATAGCTCATTTCATTGTGCATTTGAAATTTTCTTTCTTCTCCTGGGTTTGATCATAATATTTCTTCACCACTTTTGTTTTATGCAGGGACCATATATGTAGCGTGCAAAGGAATATACATTTTAGCTCTCTTAGTAGTAAGTGTTTGCGGTAGTCTATTCGTTTCAGAAGAAATTGTGGCAATACATCTTTATTCATTTCTTTGTTTTGTAAATCACATGTTGTGGGTTAAGAATTATAAAATGTACGTAGTGATAACTCGGTACATGGTTTAAAGTGCAATGGTAAAGATATGAAGTTCTTGTTAGTTTGCCTGTGCATCTTTAGGAGTGAAGCAACTATTTTTTTTTCATGCCTTCTTTTTTAGTTTTCTTTTGATTAATGGTAGGTGGAACCTTTGATCAGCGCCAAAAATTTCTCTATTGATGATTGGTGGTCTTTGAAATCCTCTAACATGACTACTACCTGTGATGCACCGACATGGACATCGTGTCGGACACATCGACATGGAATACTAAAAAAAAATACTGACACTACATGTTGCTGACACGTTGATAAAATTCTTTAATATTCTTCATTAATAAGTATAAATTTAGTTTTATATTTGTTATTAGTTTTTCTCATTGAACTCTTTTGAATATGAGTTCCTATTTGTGGTTTAGCCCTTGTTTGATCCCCATTATTTTCAAAATATATTTTTTTCTCCTTTTCAACCCACATTCTTCAATAAAATTATATTACACGCAAATTCAAAACTTTTCTTATTTTTTAACTATACTGTCTTCATCAATCTACTATTTTCAAATGCATTTTTCAATAAAAATGGGGCTCAAACAAGCTCTTAATAATAACTATGAGGTGAAAAAAAAAATATTTTTTTTAAAGAAAGAAAATTGATTCCGAGAAGTGTCGGTATCCGATTGACACATCACCCTAGTTCAAGTGTCCGTGCAACAAAGACTACTAGCCTTAAACTTTACTTTCATGGTAGAACTGGCAAATCAGTTATTGGGCACTTTTAATTTCTCAACTACACTTGCCTTTTATGTTGGTGTTCTGCTGAATCATGATGTTGTAAATAATCATATTTTAGGATTTTGCACACATGCACAGACATCATGTCATATGCGAATCTCACCTTAATTTTGTATTGAGATTTGTTGTTTCTTCCATAGAATCGGAATCGTATTGTAAGTTGGTGGGCTATATATGGCAGTGGTCTTTGTATCTTGATTTTATTAGCAAGATGCTTGTCGTTGAGCTAAAAATTATTAATAGTAGAACTTTTCTCCCAATCTAATGGTTCTCCGGGTATTGGAGGAGCTCAAGATGGGTGAGGGCTAATTGTTATGTGCCAAATAACTTGTTGGAGTAAGCCCAAATGCATGCACGCCCCCCCAATGTGGACAAGTTTATGCTTTTTACCTATTTGGAATGGTTTTAGTTTGTGTATAATCTGGGGTAACTTTTATGTTTGACGTTCCATTACGTATATTCTCAGACGAGACGTACGATAATGTCAATAATGAGTTGAGGGAGTTGCCTCCAGTTGAGCTATCTACTCTCCCTTTGATACTTAAGGTACCCCTCTCTTGTTTCCTTACCTGACATACACTACCATGGTCTCATGTCTTGATTTTAATGTTGTGTGCCCTAATCTATTTGGTTTTTTTGTTGTGTGAGACATGTACTTTGATCCATTATATGTGCACTGAATAATTTTATCTGATTGATTTCACAGTAATTTCTGCTAGTTTCATTTTTCTCTTTTCTTGCTCCTTTTTCCAATCTTCACCAAAATAATTTGATAACCTCCTAGATATATTTTTCTTTCGGTTTTATGTTTGGTTGGTTGACTATTTTTCGGTGTATTAGTTTTGTTTGTAGCTGTGGCACTTCATTGCATCTTATTATAGTCTTAGTAATTCTTCTGTATTCTTCTCATTGATGAAGCTCTCTTGAGCTGAATTTTTATATGCTTCATTCTTTAACTTTATAAAGATTATTCTCCTATTTATCTTTTGCAGATTGTAGTTGAGAGTAGCATCACCGATCAATTGCGTGTTAATGAACTCATACTACATTATGTAAGCATTCTCAATCTTTTTTGATAGCGAAAATTCATGACTTTTTACGTTTGCAGACAGTGGTTTATTGAGGGATATGCCTCACTTTTGTGTATCATAATTGTAATCGATACATATGAGTGTATTTTATTGAACCTATACTATCTCCATTTATTTGTTAGTAGGCAATTTTGAGGCAACTATACAAGTTACCATATTTTGAAGTAAACACTTTAGGGCCTGCTTGGGAGTTTTAGAGTACCGGTTATGAGCGTTTTTCAAAGTACCAGTTTGGAGCGTTCATGAGCGGATCGATTTTGAGTGATTTTAATGGCGATTTTTAAAACAGTCTAACCCATGCTCTCGTTTGGTGTGGATTAAAATAATATTTTTAGTAGATTTTGATAGAAGTTGATGAAACGTGTGGTTGAAAAGTTGTGGAACCTATAAAATATGTAATTGAAATGAATTGTTGACTTTGACTTAAATTAAAATCTAAATTTTAATCGGTACCAAACAAGGTCCATGTTTGAGAGTTTATTATGCACCTGTTCTGAAAGGTTTTTTTTTTTTTTTTTATAATCGTGGATGTCCGGGCCAACTTACGCGCACCTCGACTAATCACACGGCCCTAAAGTTTACAGAAGAATACTCACCTCAGTGGCCACGAGGGGATTCGAGCCGAGGACCTCAACTTACGCGCACCTCGACTAATCTCACGGGGCCCTGAAGTTTACGGTCGGATACTCACCTTAGTGGCCCTAAGGAGACCTGTTCTGAAAGTTTTTACAAGAATAAAATCACGTGTCCATATTTTGCTTATAAGTCATTTTTCTATGTATAAGGAAATATTTTTACACATCATTTTTATAAGTAAATTTTTATATATTTAATTTTTACTATAAGTAAAATTTACAATTATACCCATTTTTAGCCAAAAATGTATTTTGGAATACTGATTTGATGGAGAATGTGTGGTTCAAAAATAAGGAAAATTTTTGGATTTGCGTGTAATGTTCTTTTATTGAAGAATGTGTGGGTGAAAATAAGAGAGAAAAATGTGTTTTGGAAATAATGAGAAACAAACAAGGGCTATAAGTTAATTTTGTACTTTTAACACTTAAATAATTTTTACACAAGTTAATTTTTACTTATAAGCAACTTTTTATATTTTATAAGTGGTTTTTTGTCTTATTAGTAGTATTTTTATTTTATAAACACATTTTTACACAACATTGATTTTTATCATATAAGTAATTGTTTTTAGTTATAAGTGATTTTTTAATCGTGGGGCTTGTTTGAGCCCCATTTGATCAAAAACTTATTTTCAATCACACATTCTCCAATAAAATAATATTTTTTTATCATATAAGTAATTGTTTTTACTTATAAGTGATTTTTTAATCGTGGGGCTTGTTTGAGCCCCATTTTATCAAAAACTCATTTTTAACCACACATTCTCCAATAAAATAATATTGTACGTAAATTGAAATTTTTTTCTTTATTTTTAACCACATTCTTCAAAAATCACTATTCAAAAATGCATTTTTCTCTCAAAATAGGTCATAATGTATTTTTTTTTTTGCTTTTAAATAATTTTTTAAATTAATATCTTTTTATTACAAGTTAGTTTTGAACAAAATATGTTGGTTGGAAATAATTATTTTTTAAAAGATAAAATTAGAAGTGAACTATCATGCTCCGACACGGACATGTGTGTCCAACAAGATATGTGTCGGATACGCCGACATGCGATTTTTTTAAAAAAGGTACAGACACGACACGTTATTGACGCGATTAAATTTTTAAAAATTCTTTATTTATATAGTATAAATTTAGTTTCATAGTTGTAATTAATTTTTCTCGTTGAAATCTATTAAACATGAGTACATATTTGTAACTTGCTAATAACTATGAATTAACAATATATAATATTTCTAATATAAAAAGAAAATGATTACGGTAGCGTGTCCGAAAAGTGTCGGTATCGACTCGTATCGGTGTCGGATACGGACACGCTATCCTAATTGAAGTATCCGTGCTACAGCGAAAGTGAATATGAGAAATGGTCAACCCACTAAACCAATTTGGTGGGTTGAGAGAAACGGTCAAAATTACACAACACCAGTTTTGGGTGATTTTTAAACCATCCAAAACCGGTATCCAAAAAAACTAACAAGCACGGGTATTTTCAACTCAACACCCAAAATTGGTCAAAATCGGTGAAAAAAGAAAAATCCGAGGTAGGCCTTGGGGTTGGTTGTGTATCTCGCCTTGGAAGATAGAAAATCATCTCGTAATGTAGAGTTCCTGGCATCAAGAAAATCGTTTAGGTCGGAATTGGGAAATAAATTGTATCTGGCAGCTGAGGAACTAAGCTAGTGGCTTAAAATGAATCTACGGTTCTTTGATAGCTAGTGTTCTCAAGTATTTAGTTCTTGTTTCTCTTGTATTCTTTTCCCTTTCAAGGATGTCGTATTATTTCCAATGTCTTTCCGATATGATCATCTATTAAGTGAAGCTTATTGTGATTCAGCAAGATTTCTTCCGAAAGCTGGTGGACCTGTTTAGAATTTGTGAAGATTTGGAAAATATTGATGGTCTTCACATGATTTTCAAATTAGTTAGAGGAATCAGTAAGTCGGCTTAGCATTTTGCAAGAGTATGTTATTACATGTTCAAGTGATTCCATCTAAGATTATCTTTGCGTGTTTTGTGTGCAGCTTTACTAAATAGCCCCCAGATTTTTGAGAAAATATTCGGGGATGAATTGATCATGGATATAATCGGATGTCTTGAATGTAAGTACTTTTGCTTTTCTTTCTTACATTATGTTCCCTCGCAAATTATGCTTTAAATCCCTCCTTTTTTCTCTTCCCCACCTTGTCCAATACTCTTGATTTCGGGTTTAAAAAGTTTAATGGTGAGGTTATCTTTATATCCTAATTGTTTGGTGCCAGCAGTGAATCAAGTTAACAATAATAAAAAATATATACCTCAGATTGTCCAAAATTTCTCTTTTTATGTAAAAATCAGCTTTATTCCCCTAATTATCAGGTGGGGTACTTGTTTTCTCTATCACTTGCAATATCTTTTCTATCTTTGTGTCACTAACAGGTCACTAGATCTTGGAATACTTGAGCGACTTGGAAAACTTCTTAGGTTGTCTTTGAATAGATTTATGTGCAGTGTGATCCCTTTATCTCTCCACTTCTTTCCTTTTAAATTGGCACCAGCATTAAGGTTTTAATCTCGTTCCCCTTACTCATGGAGCAGCCAAATATAAACGTTTCTTCATCTTGAAATCTTTGTTATTTTCTTCAACAAATAACAATGGTTGCTACGAGCTTTAACGAATTATGGTACTTAGCTTGTTTGCAGCTGAACTAGGAGATTTGGGTACTTCAATTTCGACCTATTTGATGTTGGGCCATCATCTTCCCTTAATGATGTCAATTGATTTCTTTTGTTATGTTTTCAGTTTTGTTTTTTCGAATTCAGACATGTCTTTTATTTTGCTTGGGGATGTATATAAGAATTTTTGTGCCCTAGTTTTTGGAAAAGTCATGTTGATGTGTTGGAGTCATGATATTGATGCCGCATTTCAGTATCTGTACTTCTTAGGAGAGACCTTGTGGTGTGATTTGAGTGCGGAGATCAGTTCGCAACTGTATTTATCATTTCTGAAGTGCAATTGATTTGTTTAATCATAATTCTGGTAAATGCCTATTGTCTTTTTTTCTATTAATGGACAGGAAGGCTTCTGGTTTCATTCCCATAAATTTTGATTGTATTGATAATCATAAATCTGGTAAAATGCCTATTGTCCTAGGGAGCTTTTTCTTTTAATGGGCATTAAGGCTTCTGGTCTCGTTCCCATAATTGTTGATTGTATTGATCTTCACATGTAGATCATTGTTCTATCTTAATTGAATACCTATTTGGATTAATAGAGTATTATTACTTGATTTGTTTATTGTATCAGATATGTCAGCTGGGTCCTTCTCTCTGAATGTAATGATGAATTTCTTTAAATTTTACTTGCAGTTGATCCCGAGGTACCTCATGTTCATCATCGCAGTTTTTTAAAAGAGCATGTGGTGTTCAAGGAGGTACATTCTATTGAACATCCCCTCCCCTCTATTGGAAAAAGAAAAAGAAAAAGAGAGAGAGAACTCCTGCTTGTGGAAACATTGTTATTGAAGGACGGGCTGATGAGTTGCCTTATGTGCATGTCATATTTTTATTCATTCCTAATTCACTGTGGCATATTTCAGGCCATACCTATTAAAAACCCTTTAGTCCTTTCCAAGATACATCAAACTTACAGAATCGGTTATCTGAAGGTGATGCTTTCGATGCTTTGAAGTGGATCTTGTTGTACATAACTTGTACTATAAATGAAACTTATTCCTTGTATTGCCTCTGGCAGGATGTCATATTGCCAAGAGCATTGGATGAGGCCACTGTTGCAAGTCTTAATTCTATAATCTATTCAAACAATGCAACTGTATGATACTGTCCAAGTTGGCTCAACTCTTAAACATCTATATTTTATCTCCATCCTGATTCTGTTGTCTTCTGTAGGTTGTTTCGTTGTTGAAAGATGACAGCACCTTCATTCAGGAATTGTTTGCACGGTTGAAGTGTCCTACCACTTCTGCAGAATCAAAAAAAACTATGGTAAACATTGATCCTTGAATACCTCTTACGCATTTCTTCTAAGTTCATATGTTTGGTGGCGGCGGTGGCAGATATGAATGCTCAAATCTTGGGGATTCAAATTATGAGCCACATATCATCCCTGCCCAATTTTTACCAGTGTAATCAGATCTTTAATTTGTTAGTTATGTAATTTCTAGGATAAGTTGCACGATATTGACCATCAAACAATGACATTGGTTGGCTCAGCAACAAAGTACTACAACTCTAATTTATTTTGACATATATCATTAATTATTCCAACAACCAAACTGTCAGCCTGCCAGTGTCTCATTTGTACCCTAAAATTACAGCCAATCAGCTTCGTTTAATATTTATTAAGTTAATAATCATTAGTAAACAATCAACTTCTTAAGAACTAACTTTGTTCCACCCAATATTAATGATTTTAATGTTTAGTAACTTCTACTTTTGATCTTTTTGTGCATAATATTGGTTTTATTTTTCTCGTCATCAAATTAGTTCTAACCTAAATTAATGTGTCTAATGTTCAATATTTAGTAGTTTTAAATTGTTCCTATGCAATGCTATGTGTGAGAGATAAAATATGGTATTACTTTACATGCTTATAAATTTAAGAATTCTTTTAATTATTAAAAACATTTGGATAAAAAGGTTATTTTTCTTGAATTGGAACTAGTTATAAATAGTACAACGCTTGTTCTAAGTCACAAAATAACCATTCCAATTCAAAAAAATTTGGTTAAGCTAAAAATAGTATTGTTTTATTGAAAATAGGAAGAATAAAAATAAAGACACAATATAAATTCATAATTTTATAGAATTTTAATCCATGTATCTGATACCTGTTCACTGTTCTGTGGCATTGCTACATAAGAATTTTTAGGGGGTGGGTGAGTGTTCGCTGTCTTATTGAATTTATTATTTTGTGATTGTAATAGATACACTTCTTGCATGAGTTTTGTACCTTAAGCAAGAGCTTGCAGATGGTTCAGCAGCTCCGGCTATTTAGGTATGTTAAAGTCATAACTTCCATTTTGCTCTCTTTCTGGTATAAAATTTAATATCAATTACAACATTGTTTCATCTTTTCTGAACTTAGAAATTCATTTTTAACTTGTTCTACAAGTTCAAATTTTTTTGCCTGAGAAGAAATGTAAAAATAGTCTTGTATGCGTGAATTGATGTTATCTATGTGCTTTAATTTATTACTGGAAGTATTGTTATGCTTGTAGGGATCTTGTCAATGAAGGCATATTTGACATCATAGCTGACGTTTTGCAGAGTGATGACAAAAAGCTTGTGTTGACTGGGTAATAAAATAATTCGAAGTTTTTAGTATAAACATTTAAAAGATTTTATCTCTACTCATAGTTTTTCTGGCCAGAGTATTTGAAATGTTCACATTAATTTGTTGTAATGGATGCAGGACAGACATTCTCATTCTTTTTCTGAATCAGGATCCCAGTATTTTGCGTTCTTATGTAACTAGGCAAGGTGTTCTTTTTGGACTTCTGGTGAGCAATATAGGGTTCTTTATTTTCTGGAGTTTACAACAGCTTTTTGTTGCATGTAATGGCTGTATAAATTGCTTTCTTAGTATCAGTGGAATTAGTTGCTATCTTGAGGCAGTCATGAGATTCGTTAGGAAAACTCTTGAATTTTGAGTTAATGTTTAGATCTAAGAAATGTGGACAGTACCACGATCATGGTTACGGGCATGAACACGACAGGACCTGGATATGCAACAACATCTTCCAAAAAGTAGGATTCAACAGTAAGACACATTGCATAATTTTTTTTTTTTTTATAATCCTATTTTTTCATGTAACTCATAATATTGAAAACCTTGAGAGATTAACTCAGTCTGAATTGAATTCTAAGAATAAGAAAACCAAAACATTAAGTTGGTGATCTTTAAACTTTATTATTTATTATGTGAAAACATAACAGTTGATGGATTTCAATAAAGCACATTATAGGTGGCTTGAATATGGAGGTCATCAAATGTGCTTTAGTTGTAGTGTAGACAATCCCTCTCTTTTCTGTTGCTTTTTCTACCTATTTATACACGCATTCAATTTTGGTTGTCGTCTGAACAGTTGGTCATATTATAGTTAACCAATTTCTCTTTACAATTACATTTGAATCCCAAAAGTAATCCTTGTCTCTACTAGTGTGTACTTGAGAAAATTTGTTAGCACATCCCTAAGTCCCCAGCATATTCTGGAGAAGTTAGAAATTGGAAGCAATATTTTGCTACTTTCCCAATGCACCTGACATGTAGCCAATGTAGGACATTTTGGCAGGGTGAAGTGCCTGTGTTTCCTATGTTTAGATCATATTCATGTAGATGACATGATGGGAAAAACCATGGCCTTGAAAATTAAGTTCCAAGCTTTTCATGTTAATCTCTGCAACCTTTCTACCTTTCTTTTTGGGGGCAGGAAGAATGGGATGCGGGTGGTTATGTTTGTGAGGGGAAATCACAATAGCACTAATATGTTTTCATTACAGTATCTTTTGTGGAAATATAACATCATTTCTCTTCTTTGAAAGGATTAAAATAGCAGCCTGCTTAAAATTTTGGGGCTCTGTGTGTGTGTGGTCTAGGGTGGAATGCTGTACGTACTGCTATAAACACATCTCTATGCTGAAAATATTAGTTAGTGAATCCTTAATTTGCAGGTAAAAAATATGCTAACAGATTTTGGAGATGATATGCACTGCCAATTTCTTGAAATCCTTCGCAGTCTTTTGGATTCATATACATCAGCGTCACAGGTGCTTCATTTCTACTTTTTTGTTTAATTTATAATCTTTTCTTCACAGACTTTGCCTTTCGTTATTATTCTCACGACGAGAGTCGTGTTTTGTTTTGTTTCATGTTCTACTGATATCCCAAGAAAGGGCCGTGGCAGCTAACTAGCAAGCTTGTTTGGTCATGACTCAAATTAAACAAAAATTAAGACCAAAAGGCTATTAAGCACCACGGTGCATCCTTGCCTTTGTATTTCATTGCACATTCCCATGGGTATTAAACCTTGGTTTTGAGTTCATAGGTTCTTTTTCCAGTTTTTTTTGCTATAGTTTTCAATGTTGCTGCAAAAGTTACTGGCCATTTTAGGGTTACTATCTTTACAGAAGCATATGGACTTAAGATCATCTATGTGGCTTTACATGTTCGTGATATTTGGAATGAAGTATATTTTTCTTTGCATGTGAGGACGTTATTGGCATTATTTTTGTTATCATAGTTACAAATTTTTGCTGTCCTCGTCATTCATGTGATAATTTTACTTTTATTACAGAGAGATTCTATTGTTGAAATTTTCTACGAGAAGCACTTGGGTCAATTAATAGATGCTATAACATCATCATGCCCACCAAATGATACTGCTCAAATAGGCAGTAAGTTTGTGAGCTCAGATGGAGGAAATTGGAATCAAAGTGGAGTGAAGCCTGAAATACTATTGAACATTTGCGATCTTCTATGCTTCTGTGTTTTGCACCATCCTTATAGAATAAAGTAATTTTCATAGCACCCTTCGTTTAACTTTTTTAGCTGTGATATGCTGCTTCAGAGTTCATTTTGAATTTAAGCTCCATTTGTTCTGCAGATGTAATTTTTTACTTGATAACGTGATCGATAAGGTTTTATATCTGACAAGAAGACGGGAAAAGTATCTTGTAGTTGCTGCTGTTAGATTCGTGAGGACTCTTATTTCTCGCAGTGTAAGTTCATTGTTTTATCTTTTGAAAAACTCTAGAGAGATTAATATCGTAGAGGTAAACTGAAGTCTACATTTAAACTGTTCTCTTCTGGATAAATTAAAATGAAACACTGTTTTCTTTCCTCTTTATTTATTTTTTATTGTTTTAAAGACCACTTGATGAAGTTTTTATCCTATTATATTATTGGTGCTTGCTTGATCATAAATTGGCAAATCTTCCCTCTTTACTCCTCTATTTGCTGCATTTGAGATTGTAATTTATAATCCTCAAGGATAATGCTTTCCCAATTGATTATTAAGTATCTCCAATTTGCATTATCTTATTTTTCTGTTTGTATCTGATACCCGAAGGAAGAATAATGTGCATTTAAGAAAAGTGGTGCATTGGTCATGTGAAGTATTTTGACCTGCTATTTTATATGCAAATCAATTTTGGTATTCATGTGGTCATGCTCATTGTCTCCTTTCTCCTTGAAATTGTGGCTTTCATGGATAACTCTTGTGAAACATTTTGTTTTCAATTTAGCTGTCCTATGGTAAGCTTGGTTCTCAATTTCTTTTTTGTTTGTTGGCGATGTATTGCAGGATGAGCATCTTATGGATCACATTGTGAAGAACAACCTTTTCAAACCCATTGTAGATGCATTTGTTGCTAATGGTGATAGATACAATCTTCTGAACTCTGCCGTACTTGAACTATTTGAATATATCCGAAAGGTGGTTATCCCCTTCAGATGTCCCTTAGATTGCATTGCAGATGCATTTACCTATATTTTATCATTTTGTTTCTTGAAACACGTGTTTCACAGGAGAACTTGAAGATATTACTTAGATATATAGTTGATTCATTCTGGGATCAGTTGGTCAAACTTGAGAACTTGTCTTCCATTCAAGCTCTAAAAGTTAAATACGAGCAGGTATTTATTTTATCTTTTATGGGTTTTTATGGCATTTGGACTTCTCTGTGTTTAGATCACGATGAATGAATTGCAGTCCCTAGAGAGTGCCGGAACGAGAAGCACTGCTACTTTGTTAGACCAGAGGAAACGGATAGATGAGCGAGCTTTGGAGAGAGAGGAAGAAGATTATTTTAATGAGGACAGGTTTGTCTTTGCTTGTAGTTGTGGAATGTATAATGGTGGATCTCAAATTACGAATACCACGAAATGACCAATTCTGCATTTTAATTAGTGATGAAGAAAATTCTGCATCAGCTGCCAGCTCTAACAGAGTGCAATCTCAGCCTGTCTTGGCTAATGGATCTGCTCTAAACTACCCTTCACTGCGGTATTAATTTCACATCAATTGTAAATTTAATTTTCATAACCCTAGGTACTTATAAATCAATTTTTTCTATGTATGAAGGTCTAGTGGACTTGTTGACTATGAAGATGATGAGGATGATGAGGATTACAAACCTCCACCTAAAAAACTGTCTGATATATCTGATGAAGATGAGGGGCTGGCCGAGTTCCGGTTAAAACGCAAATTAGTTTCAAAGGAGGAGCCTGAGCCAAAAAGGTTGCTGCAGTCCCCAAAAGGCACAAAACCAAGAGAAGGTGTATTTGCTGCCTTATGCTCTACCCTAAGTCAGGCAGTACTACCAAGTAAGAAAACAATTGGTGCTGGAACTGACAGTCCTCAGTTGGATGCAAACAAGAACACTATCGAACCAGATTGTGATGTGAAGGGTTCTACGAGGTCATCTGATGATGATGGAAATGCAGATGCGAAATCCCATGCAAAGGATGAAGAAGCTTCTCCTAGAAGCTTTTCTGATAGTTTGCATGATTACCCAGAGAATAGGCAGCGGAGTGATGACTGTTCAATGCTACCACCTAAGTCCTCACCGGAAATGGCTGTGAATGGATCCTGAGAGTTATTTCTGGAAAGCTATCCGTGTAATTCACTAGCTAGCACTTGTGCTGTGGAAGAATTGGCCATGACTATCACAACTTTCAATAGAGGGCTTGATGAAAATGAGCTGGCAAGGATGCAGAGGGGAATTTCAAATGAATACCCCTTGATACTGGGAGGATACTGTACAGCGCTGTAGCAATGCAGAGAATTACCTGTAGGTTTTCCCTAATTTAGTTTTCCTGCCATTTTAGGCGGAGTAATTGTCGATTGTAAAACATTCATTAACTATAGCTTTTGCTTCTATTCTCCCTTGCTCAATCTCTTGTGCTGATTTTAGCCTTTTATATGGTTAATGCAAACTCTGTGATATTCCGATAGGGTTACATCTTGTTCTGTATAGATATTGTTTGTTTATTAGACAATTTTGTGTGACCAAGAGAGGCTGGGGAACGTGTAGGCCAAATTTATTGTGTTCAAATGTTTTTGTATTCAAGGTCTGAGGAATTGTATAATATAGTATTTGAAGGGAGTGATTGTCCTGGCATCGATCACCAGATGCATTTCCCGTTAATATTTGTCTTCTTATTCACGTTATTGTGTAAAATCTTGTAACGCTGACTGGTTTACACCTAATGGTTAAAGCCGACTTGGCGATCCATGGAAATCATTTTCATCGTTCTTGTAGCTATAAGAAAGTTATATTTGTATGGATCTTTCTTGAGTTATTGAATGGGATGTTTACTAGAAAATGATGAATACTCTTTTGGTTAGGTGCCTTAGCGGCCTGCATTTTGCTTCTTCTCTTGGCTGCAGTGGGCATTAGATGACAATTTATTTTTATTTTTATTAGATGGGTTTAAAGTTTAAACCTTTTTAAATGGAATCCTATGTTTAATGGAACAAAATATGTACGGTTCATCTCATTATTTTTAAAATATATTTTTCTTCCTCTTCTTTTGAATTACGAATTTTTTAATAAAATAATATTATATATAAATTTATAACTTTTTCTTCTTCTCCAAACGCTCACGTGAGCTCAATCAGGAATCGCGGAAGGTTGAAAAAAAGGCTGTTTCCGAGGAACACAAACAGAGAGAGACAGGTCAAGCTCACCTAATGGAATCTCTACAACCATTCTTTAAACTCCTCTTCCTCGTTGCCCTCTTCCACTTCCTCGCCTCCACACCGCCACCGTCCTCCGCCGCCGTTGCCATCTCCGTTTCCTATCCCAAAGAGGCCCTCCCCACCAAATCGGGCTATCTCGAAGTGAACTCCACCTCTGGTTCTGCCATTTTCTACGCATTCTATGAAGCCCAAAATTCCAACCACAAGACATCACTCTCCCAATCGCCAATCGTCATTTGGCTCCAAGGTGGCCCTGGTTGCTCCTCCATGCTAGCCAACTTATACGAACTCGGTCCGTGGCGCGTGTCTCCACAGCTCTCACTTGAAGCCAATCCAGGTTCTTGGAATCGAATCTTTGGCTTGCTTTTTCTTGATAGTCCTATTGGAACTGGATTTAGCATAGCTGCTTCACCTCAAGAAATTCCAGGAAACCAACACGATGTTGCTAAGCACCTTATTATTGCAATTAAGAAATTTATTGCCTTGGACAAATCGTTCAAAACTAGGCCAATTTTTATTACTGGTGAGAGTTATGCTGGAAAATATCTTCCATCACTTGGATATTATATACTAAAGAAGAATGCCCAGTTGCCTAAAGAAAAAACGGTGAATTTGGGTGGTGTTGCTATAGGAAATGGATTGACTGATCCTGAGATTCAAGTGGCTACTCATGCTATAAATGCTTACAATTTAGGTCTGATCAATAAAAAGCAAAAGGTCCTTTTGGAGAAACTTCAATCTGATGCTGTTGGATTAACTAGAAATGGTAATTGGAGTGAGGCAACAAGTGCAAGAACTCGAGTCTTGAACACGTTGACAAAAATGACTGGTTTAGCCACTTTATATGACTTCAGAAGGTTAATTCCTTACCAAGATGATTTAGTGGGAGTGTTTTTGAATAATGTGGAAGTGAAAAAGGCACTTGGAGTCGATGAAAACATGGTTTACGAGGTGTGCAGCGATGTGGTGGATGCAGTATTGTCCGAGGATGTGATGAAGAGTGTGAGGTATATGGTGGAGTTGTTGGTTAAGAATACAAAAGTTTTACTGTATCAGGGACAATGTGATTTGAGAGACGGTGTGGTGTCAACCGAGGCTTGGATGAAGAAGATGAAGTGGGAAGGTATCACAAAGTTTTTGGAGGCCGAGAGGAAGGTTTGGAGGGTTGATGGGAAGCTAGCTGGGTATGTGCAGAAATGGGCAAATTTGAGCCATGTCGTGGTTATGAACGCTGGGCATCTTGTGCCTACAGATCAGGCTGTGAATTCTCAAGTAATGATTGAAGAATGGATTTTAGAGAGAGGAATTTTTGGCAGTGAAAAGAATGAAGAATTACCTCTCAATTTTAGGGGAACCATTTGAGATGTGTTCTAATCTGCTGTTTTTGTTGTTGTAATTTGATCTTATAAATGCTCTGAGCTTGAAATAAAAGATGTTCATTTCCCCCATTGGTTAGCTATTACTAGAAAATTACTTTTAGTTTCTTGTACTGAGATAAATAAATTAGCATGAATCCTGTTCTGCTCATCCAAGATCGAAGCAACTCCAATAGCTTTTTAGTATAATGTCTGCTTGTTGATTCTTGCCAGAAATCAGTTAATTTTTGATCTGATCAATTTGAGTTTCTTTTCTAAGCAACATTCTCACAAGTCCCAACAAAATTCTTGGCTTTTTATATTTATTCATTTTCTGGATTAATTTTGAGGCTTGAAAATTCAGTAAAACTTGTTCTACAATTTTGTTTCTTAACATTGTTTTGTTAATGGAAAAGCACAAACTACAGAATTCATCTTTAATCAACATATTAAATTACAATAGCAGCCAACAAAGTAAATAATCTTCCTCTTTTTTCATTATTAAGAATTTGAGATAAGATTTATGGATTGATTGATTGGAATCTAAGAATTGACTTGAAAATGCGGCCACCCAATAATAATTAATCCAATGCTCCAAAAGATAATTTTTTTTATTATTTCATTTTGACTTATAATTGCTGTATGTATACGGTTTTGTTTTCTTGATATAAAATACAATTAATATTTTTTTTCCCTTCCTTCCAGATTAGGTTCTATCTTAATGAGTTTAATTATGTCAAGAAATGTCCATCAAAAACACTTTGTTTGATTATATTGATTAAAGCTTATTAATAAGAGCATCGGTACTTATTTTAGTGCTTTGTTTATTTTCAGAAATGAATACTAATATCTTCAGTAGATTAAAGAATTTGATGGTTTGCTAGATTTACATACATAAAATTCTCGGACATTCAAGTTTAGAAAATTTACTCAACGGTCAGATATATGAAATTTTAAGGAGTTGTTCTTTGTGTTTGAGTTTTGCGTTTTGAGTTTTGAATTCATTTTGAATTTTTTGTTTTGAATGTCCATTTTGAGATTGTTGAAAATATGTCTTTTTGGCATTTTGAAAAATTGTTTTGAAAACACCCAAAACCTGTGTTGAAAATTTTAACTTGATTATAACTGAAAACACTCGTTTTGGATTTTCTTTGTAAATTTTTAATTTGTTTTCAAAAACGCGTTTTCAAAAAAGGGAAAGAGAACACGTTTTCAGAAAACCGCTTGAAAACGGTAAGGAGAACAAGCCCCAACTTTTTCAGGATATGGCTCAAGAGATGGATGCTCTCGAGGGAGAGACAAATATTTGACAAGAAGAAAAATAAAATAAATATTAGTGAGATAATGCAACTTTAAGTGGAATACTTTGAAACACGATAACACGTATAGTTGAAGACGTGTAACTAGTAAACGTAAACGTAGGAGAATTTGCTAATCTTTGTCCAGTTAAGAATGTCATAAATTGTTTTCCTTTTGTTGACAACCTTATCTAATTTTATATAGTATTGCATCAAATTAGTTTAAGATTAATAAGGTGTGCTATCAATTTTCCACATCTGCCCACCAATTCTTACCAGTCACACCCAAATGTATTCCTTTAGACTTTTCAAAATCTTTATATATATATTGCAGTGGATAATTCTCGAAATCCTTCACCTTCTTGATCTCATCTTAATCTCTCATATATGCATGTTTAAGTCATGAAATGAGCATCATTATCTTTCTGCATAGAATTAGGCTTGCACAATCATTCTCTGTTGTTTTTCTGTATTGGTTCTACGTTTTTTCTTGACTCGGTAGATAGACACGAAAGTTAAAACAAATTATTGTATTTCTTTTTAATAAAAAGATTGTTGGGAAAATTTCGTCGAGGAATAAGCTTAGTAACTCAAGTTCAGAAGATATGATAGATGAAAAGAAGAGGAAGAGAATGATATCAAACCGTGAATCAGCCAAACGATCAAGGATGAAGCGTGAGCAGCACGTTAAAGACCTGAACGATCAGATCATGTATTTCACGAACAAACGCAGTGAAATGATTCTTAAGATCGGTGAAATTACGCCACTTTATGAGAGCATTGAATCGGAGAACAGAATATTGAGATTGCAGCGTGAAGGACTGAGAAAAAGGCTCGAGTCTTTGGATATTGTTTCTAGGTTTATGTGTGAGCCAAATGAGCCTTTATTGGGGGATTTTGGAAGATCCCTTCCTCACCATGGCAGCCTCCTTTCCAGTCTCGGCCTATAATGACCTCTGCTAGGATTTTCCAGATTCAAAGCACCAAATCCTCGCAAGATTTGCACATGGCTTACATTTTTGATATGTAAATATGATGTTATTGTGAAGTTTCATGTAATAATGGACACGATCAACCTTCCCATCTTCTTCAACAAGGCTTAATCGAACTCTTTATAATCGCATATATTAAATTTAGAAACATTCAAGTACTTTCTTAAGATACAAGTTTGTCTAATTTCTACTTATAAGCGATTAAAACATCAAATGACAAATCATATTATACTGTTTCTGTAGTGATGAAACTATGCGATCACTAGCTATTTTTCACTGAATATCTAACTTCGTGCAGCCCTGCACGCTTTAACAAGATCAGATTTACAAATTACAAGCAAGCATCTCTTGTAAAGTATGAGCACAGAGGCTATAGAACCTGTTCAATAAGGGGAACACATTAGCTGTCCGTTCTTATGTTGGACCAAGAGGGTTGGAGAGTGTCAATCACTGAAACTTCCATGCAGAAAGTGAAGTGAGCGGCGTCCCCTTCCAACCAATAGTTAAGAATTTCCCATTCATATCAAACGTGGTAGAGTTCCCACTGGTGAAGTTCTGAAGCACCAGATTTGCTTGATACATAGACGACATGCTCAGTTCTATATCCACCAACTGAAACCTTTCGAAAAAGGCCCTCCATACATTGATAGTCACGGGTCGAAACTTTCTTTCTTTTCCCTGAGTCCCTACAATGTTTCTTATGGCAGAACTGACGCATGTTGATTCAGCATCCCTTCTGCTTTTCTCATCGTTCTTCATACAATCTGCTAAGGAATCAAAAAATGGACCATAATAAAAGAGGGCTTCCACAAATCTGTCCACAAAAATCGGAGAATTACAATTTGCCTCAATCTCTGTAACAATCATTACACAAGGATTGATAGTTCTGATCACTTCCATTATATGTTTCAGCCTATCTGGACATCCAATCATACTTGTCAAAGCGTACGCTGCATAGACAGCCACAGCTTTATCATTATCAAACTCGAAGAGGTCTATATTAAGATCTAAAATATCTTCTTCCACGACAATGTCAAAAGAAAAGTGAAAGTTCAGGGACTGAGCAAAGGTTGTCAGACGCCTGCCCGTCTCTTCTAATTTTTCCTTTGATTTGATTCCCACAGCCGTGATTTTAAGATGCTCAATGGGATTTTCACATCTAGTTGAAAGAGCTTCCATCAAAGTTATGCAGTGCATTCCATTCCTGATCTCGAGGTCAATGATATGTACCTTTCTTGCCTCAGCTAAATGTTCTACTAAAGCTTGAATTGCAGCGAAGCTGGTGACACGAGCAAGGGGTAACTCATAGCAAAATGCAATCAGGACTGAATCTTGACACTTCAATGCCTCTAGAGGATCTTCAGACTTCTTCCCTAAACCCTTGGGAGTAATTCTTCCAGTTTCTCTGTCAATCTTCTCATAAAGAGCTTCGCTGAAATAAAAGACTAATCTCTGAACAGGAGTTCCTTCACTGGAACTCGTTCTGTCACACTCACGCATGAGCTTGATCGCACGTTCATACTGCTTCTCGCCTACTTTTTCTGCAGATGACAGAAGATTCTGGACAAGCTGAATTTCTTTAGAATCTTCTGTAGAGGGGCATAAAATTGAACCTGCATATGGGTGGCTAAGCATTGAAATGTCACTGCTATTTCGAGAATTTGACAGGATGAATTTTTCTGCAGCCAGTTTAATGATTATCTCAGTTGAAAGCTTTGAAACGCTACAATTACTGCGTTGCATCTCATAGCTCGACACATTTACCTTTTTACCATTCAATCTTCTCTGCCTGTTTCCATATTTCTTCAGAATCTCAAGCGACCTTGAAGGAAACACGTACTGTCTTTTCATCTCAGGTTCAATAAGCTCTGAATCTTGCAATTTGACATTATTTAGCTTCCAGAATTCATCGTCAAATGATTGAAATGGCGGAGAGACAACATCAAGATACAAATCATCAAAGCTCCCAAAATCAGCAAACTGCTGTAGTCGTTGATCAATTTGAAATTCAGATGTAAATAGTCCTGGCTGAGGTATATCTCGCACCTCAAAGGACTCTATGCTGGAACTAATTAAATCAAAATCTGTCTGTCCCCATTCTCCACCTTCAAAGACTCCATTTTGATTACCTAAATTCTGACCTCCCCCATTCCCTGTACTCTTGGAGGAATTATATTCATCCAAATCTTCACCAGTATTCAATTGTTCAGTAGGAAACACTTCGTTCAACATCTCATCAGAAGTTGGAACCTCAGTGTGAATCCCTCAACACTTTCTTTTAGAGAATTTCTCCTAAACTTATTGCTAGCAATTCTATTTTTCATACAGGACAAAAGCTTTCAACAAATTCCTTGTAAGTAGTGAGAACATTGTGACGAAGAGTTGGTGTATTCATCACTTTAAATAATATATACGACATTTTCAATTGCCTGCATTAATTTGAGATGAGTGCAATATGGATTATTTACATAATATGTTCTGTCAACTCTACTAACAACAAAAACAAGAACCAAAATCCAATGAACCATGGACGGTCTATCATAGCTGACACAAAATTTCCAATATTAATATTCTTAGAAAAATGCCATTGAAGGACGGTTTAATTTGGATTAATTAGGATCTGATTAATATGTAACAATATTTTGGCTAAGGTCACTATCTAACACTTAATTTTTTTTAATATTTTAGTTAGGGAACTTTTTAAAGGAACCACTATTCATGTAACGCCTCGAAAATTTTAGAATGAAATTTTAATTGTTCTATAGACTATACTTTTAATATTTTGAAGAAAAAAAATGAGGACTAAAATGATATAGGTTTTAAATTCATATATTATTTGAGCCAAATAATTATGTATCGATAGAGTGATAAATATTGATTTTGATAATGCTAATCTTTTTGTGATTTGGATAGAGTTTGATTGCAATCTTAATTTGATTAAATTTAAAAGTAATTATAATTCTATTATTTGAAATCAATTCTTATTCAAATTCTCTATATACATAGTTTTAAATTCTAGTTGCATATAAACTCAATTGAGAATTTCAAATATAAATAATGTAGGAATTCTCATTATTTCACCGCAGAAAATAAAGAGAGCCATGGTAGAGAGAGAAGGAGAGAAGAAAAGTATAGAAAAATAAAATATCTTTTATGTGCAAGATTTTATTTTTTCCAACCTTCTAAAAATTAAGGTAAGATATTTATGTGCAAGTGGTTTGTTTCCTTATACTTTTATATTCATTAATGTATATTCCTTATACTTCTGTGGTGGGATGGTGATGCAGACTACCATGAGGAATTGAAGAAATAAAAACATTAAGTTTTTTTTCCTTTAATTTATTAGTTAGTTTTAATAGTTCAAAAGCATGTTATTTAATTAGTGATTATGTTATTTTCTTAACAATACAATTTTCATATTTAGTTTAAATTTATAGATATTCCAGTTATATTTTTTTTATTAAAGAATATTATTTTATCGTTCCGCCTTTGATACAAAGAAAATTAAATTTTTGGTAACACTTCAAGATTTCTGAAATTTTGGGGTGTTACAGTTTGGTATCAGAGCAAATGTTCTACTTTCCTGTAAATTAAAAAAAAAAAAAGATTTACGTACACTGTTCGCGTGAACAATGTCGGTACTATTCATGTGAACAGTGTCGAACAGTGACCGCACTGTTAAAAAAAATTTACGGATTTCTTTTCTTTTAAATGATTGATATTAATGATTGTTTTAAATAATTAAATAATAACTTTAAACTTAGTTCCAAAATTATTATTTTACATGTTTATGTGTTTAGCTTTTGGGAGATGTTTTAAATTTTATCTATTAGAAAATTCATATTTTAAGAAGTCTCAAGTTTTATTTATTGTTTGAGTTTTCTTGATTTGAATATTCCAATATTGAAAAATTTTGTCAAAAAGACCTAAACTGTGTAAAAAGAGTTTGAGATTTGAGCAATCCACCTGTGACTCCCTTCTCATTTGGAAGTCTTTTGATTATGCGTTATTCAAATTAACAAGATGAAAAACGATATTTCAAAACTTTCCAAATTTAAGAATATTCTAGTTTCTAGAAACTTTCATTTCGAAAAAAATCATTTTTTAGAAAATTTCTGAAAAATGGTATTTTCATAAACTTTAGGAGTTTAAAGATAATGTAAAATTTTTAAAATTTTAAATATATAATATTATAAAGTATCATTGGCATGTGGCGCTCGCTATTCGACACTTTCCAATCGATCCTAAGGCATGAAATGAAATGTCATTCTTTTATTATAAATATTAGTTTTCTTCATTTATGTTATGATGTATTATAATTATGTCAATGGTCAAGTATTTAGAACTTTTCAAGTAGTTGAGGTAATTTCAATGACAAAATTTTTTAAGGAAGGAAGATTGTAATGCCCCGAAAATTTTAGAATGAAATTTTAATTGTTTATATACTATATTTTTAATATTTCTGAAGAAAAAAATGAGGACTAAAATGAAATAAGTTTTAAATTTCTATCTTATTTGAGTCAAATAATTATTTATCGATAGAGTGATAAATGTTGGTTTTGATAATGATAATATTTTTGTGATTTGAATAGAGTTTGATTGAAATTTTAATTTGATAAAGTTTAAAAGTAATCATAATTCTATTATTTGAAATCAATTCTTATCCAAATTCCTTTTATATATCGTTTTAAATTTTAGTTGTCTACGAACTCAATCGAGAATTTCAATCATGAATACCGTAGGAATTCTCATTATTTCACTATAGAAAATAAAGAGAGCCATGATAGAGAGAGGAGAGGAAAAAAGTATAGAAAAATAGATCTTTTACGTGCAAGATTTTATTCTTTCCGACCTTTTAAAAATCAAGGTAAGATACTTTTGTGCACGTATCTTACTGAGTATCTTTAAATACTCATTTTTACAAAATTTTACAGGTTAGTTTGGTTCGATTAGGACTGTGGATGCGGACTGCCAGGAGGAATTGAAGAAATAAAAACATTAAGTTAATTTTTCTTTAATTTATTAGTTAGTTTTAATTGTTTAAAGACACGTTATTTAATTAGTGGTTATGTTATTTTCTTAACGATACAATTTCCATGTTTAGTTTAAATTTATGAATATTCCAGTTATATTTAATAAAGAATATTATTTTATAGTTTTGCCTTTGATACAAAGAAGATCGAGTTTTTGGTAACACTTCACGGTTTCTGAAATTTTGGGGTGTTACAATTCTGTCCTTTATTCTGCCTAGCATTATAATCCTAGAAATGACAAAGTGAAGGACAATGTAAAATTTCTGTTCCTACTCAAACACCAAGGACCCCATTTTGATGTTAAGCTTAATCCATCATGTTTTGATTGAAGTACGTGTACCAACCCCTCTTCTATCTGCTATATCTAGGGCGTCAAGCAAAACAACCCAACTAGAAAGTCCAAATTAAGCAAAATTTTGCTAAGTGTTTTAATTAAGATGCATTAAGATATTTGCTTAATTACATAGAAACTGTTAAACAGAGAAGTACAGAATAGACGAAAGAACAGTGAAAAGGAAGCTGTAATCTGCACACTTCATTGAAACTTCCATGCAGAAAGCGAAATAAGCGGTATCCCCTTCCAACCAATAGTTAAGCATTTCCACAGCTGAAGTTCTTAAGCACCAGACTGGCCTGATACATAGATGACATGCTCAGTTCTACCTCGACCAACCCAAAACGAGCAAAAATGCCCTCCAGACGCTGACACACACACGTCGAATCTTCCTATCCACTCTGAGCTGCTACACTATTTCTTATTGCAGTACTGAAACATGTTGATTCAGCACGCCTTCTATTTTTCTCGTCATCCTTCATACAATCGTCCAGGAAATCAGAAATTTCACCGTAGTAAAATAGAGCTACAACGAACTGGTCCACAATAATTGGAGAATTACAATTAGCCTCGATTTCAGTAAGAATCATTACATGATGATAGTTTTGACTACTCTCATCATGTGTTCCAGTCTATCTGTACATTCAATCGTAGCCGTCAAAGTGTACGCTGCATAGATGTAACAGCTTCATCATCATCAAACTTGAAGAGGTCTTCCTTGAGATCTAAATTATCTTTTATCACGACAATGTAGAAAGAAAATGGAAAATTCAGGGACTCTGCAAAGCTTGTAAGACGCCTACCAGTGTCTTCTATTTTTTCCTTTGATTTGGTTCCCACAACCAAAATTTTAAGTTGCTCAATAGGAGTTTCAAATCTAGTTGAAAGAGCTTGCATCAAAATTATGCAATGTAACCCATACCTGATCTCAAGGTCAATTATGTGTACCTTCCTTGCCTCTGCTACATGTTCGAATAAGGTTTGAATTCCAGCCAATTTGGTAATCAGGGAGAGAGAGGAATCTGATCGCGAAATGCAATAAGGGTCGAATCTGAACGCTGCAATGCTTCTAAAGGATCCACAGTCTTTTTCCTCAAACTCTGTAAGAGTAATTCTTCCAGTTTCTCTGTCAATCTTCTCATAAAGAGCCTCTAATTCTTCTCATGGAGTGACTTTATAGCACGCTCATACTGTTTCTCACCTATTTTTTCAGCAGAGGACAGAAGATTCTGGAGAAGATGAACCTCTTCAGAATCTCCCGCAGAGTTACCCAACATTGAACTTGGATATGGATGGTTAAGCAAGGAAAGCTCATCACTACATTGGGAACTGGATTGAATAAATTTTTCTGCAGCCAGTTGAATTGTTATTTCAGCTGCTACAATAAGTGTAATGTATCTTAGAGCTCGGGGCATTTGCCTTTTCATTGTTTAACCTTCTGCATCTGCTTCCGTATCTCTTCAGGAGCTCAAGAGAAACTGAAGGGACCCGTACTGTCTTTTCTTCTTGGGTGCATTAAGCTCTGAATTTTGCAACTCAATACTAACAAGCTTACCGTATTCGTTGTCAAATGATTGAAAAGGTGGAGAGACAACATCAAGATACAAATCATCAAAGCTCCCAAAATCCGTGAACAGTTTTAGTTGTCGGTCAATTTGGTAGTCGGAAATTGCAAGTCCTGGCTCGGTTATACAACCTTGTGCCTGAAAGAACCCGATGCTCGAGCTGAATGGATCAAAGTCAGACATTCCCCATCTCCAACGAGGCCATTTTGATTTGTTAAATTCCCACCTCTCCAATTCCCAGTACTCTTAGATGAACCATATTCATATGAAGCTCCATCAAAAGTAAATTGTCCAGTTGGGAAAACTCTAGGCATCTTAAATTTTGAAAGTTCTATTTAAACTTGTTTTTACTGCTTTATGCTAATCCTATAATATTTAGCAATTCAGTTTCAGAACGTGACAAAAGCTTCCAACAAATATTTACTACTAATCCTCGTAAATGGTGCAAAGATTGGCGTATTCTGTTACTTTAATCAATGTGTACGACATTTACAGTAGCCAGCATTGTTTGGAACTAATTCCTTGTGTACATCTTATTTTTATCATTTTTGATATTGTGCCATTGTCGACGCATGATGGTTTTATAAAAAAAACACACTTTCCCGTCCAACACTTTTTGAATTCTCACACAATGTCAAAAAAGATGTACACTTAATCATAAATTCCGTCACTACTGAATTGAAACACGAAAAGGACCACAATCCAATGGTAGGCTGACACAAAAGTTTCAGTGTAAATCTTCCAAAAAAAATGACACTAAACTATTGTATAGTTTGGATTAGTTAGGATCTAAATAATTAGAAATTCATTAAGCTCACCTTTCTAAAACAGATATTTCCATTTAAGAATGTTACCAAGAAACAAAAACAAAAAAAAATGATGTTGTGGAACATGGAAGATGATACTGGATGAATTCAATACCAAATTGTTGAGTAAATAAGAGATTACATCTATAATGTGAAGTGATTGATCACAAGAACAAAATAATTCGTAGATAATAAATATTTTATTATAATATGGAGATATAATACAAAAAATTGTGTTGACAATATTTCTAACTTCTACTAAATCATAATGAAGAACTAACTATATATTGGGAACAAATATGGATGTTCAAACCAAAACTGTAGAGTTGTAGTTGAAATAGAATGCAAGAAAACTTGTTTCACTATTCATTTTCTTCCTCATATTTTTCATATTTTCAGAAAACTCAAAAAATTCTATGAAAATTTGAAACATCACAATTTTAACCAAACAAAACTCATGACCCAACTCGCGTTTTAACCCAACCGGACATGATTTCAACCAACTTCATACTGCTTCCCCAAATCTCATTCCGCTTATCCCCGCCCATGGTTTAAAAAGGCGGAAGTGCGGCCCGCCTCTTGAGGCCAACTCACCGTAAGGCACATGTATTTCGCCTCGAGGCAGTATTTTTTAGGCTAAAAATATGAGGCAAACGCCTCTAAATCTGAGGCGCACGCCTCAAGGCACGCGCCTCATGGAGCATGAGGTACACGCCTCCCTTAAAATTTGATTTTTCAACTTTATTAATACAAATCAGAAAGTGCCTTTCTTAAAAAAGAAAATTATCCATTTAAAAAGGCATTTTGGACCCAAACAAAACAATAAAATACCTAGAAAACTAAACATCTTCTTTCTTTTGTAATGCTTTTTTTTTTTTTTTGCTAAACATCTTCTTTCTTTAGGTGGACTATATCTCTACATGCTAATGACTATATATCTTATTTACTATATGCTCCAACTTTTATTTTTTGTATTGTTTTATACTTCTTTTACTTAAACTTTTTTATTTTTTGTGAGACTTACGCCTCGAGGCGTAGGCGCCTCGCAGAGAAAAATCGCCTTAATACTTAGTTTCGCCTTTTTAAACTTTGTCCCCGCCATGCCGTATGGTAACCGGCTTCGTTTTTTCTCCTCTGATCATGTTCTGCCTGATGGTTATGAATGCTCAATCTGTCTTCAGCAATTAGTTTCCATTCTGTCTTCAGCAATTAGTATCCATTATACCGTGCCGTATGAATTGCGATCATTGGATTTGCCGTATCACTATTTTTAATTCCGGAATATTGTTATTAGAGACTATTCTTCATTTATCCAGATTTTTCTCTATAATTTTTAAAATTAAATTAGTCGACATAAGTATTCAAATTTATAAAGACATTAGTTATAACTTATATTAGTTAAGAATGTAAGATTCTATGTTTATGAATTTTTTTTAGCAGTTTCTTATGCTCCCCGTTTGAATGGCAACACACTCTGAACTATATGAGCTGATTAGTAACCGTTTCTATCTACTTAGATATGATTTTATCTAATTTTATTCCAATTTTGTGATCTCATTGTTGATTAAGTTTTTATTTCATTAGGGTGCCAACAACGAACAGATTCCTTTCGGTGATGTAGGGCATAAAAGGCGTTATAAAGGATATTTGTCTCAATTTGCTCGTTAACTTTTGTATATGTTCAGATTTCATACTTTTTCAATATATATCATCACATTTACCACTATTTGTTACTTACTTTGTGGCATATCAAGATGCTTAGCAAGAAAGAAATAGTATATTCTAAAAACTGATTTCCTATAAAGAAAATTGTTATTTAGAAAGGTTTTGTGTATGATTACTCTTTTTTTATTTTTGCTCCTTCGCTTAGGCATTGTTTTCTTATTTTTCTTTTCCTTTTCTCTTTTATTTTACAGACTGGGAAACTAGTTTACAAAAAGTTTATTTTGATAACATTGCACATGTTTTAATTATATGTTTGTTCTTCTACATTAATGTTTTGAGATTTAATATCTATCAATGTTTGCAAAAATTTATTTGGATAACATTATCAATAGTTTGATTATCTGTTCTCGTACCTTGATGTTCGTGTACTTGAGTCTATCTGTCTTTGCAAAAGTTTATTTTAATAACATTGTACGTGGTTTGAATATATGTTTTGATAACATCGTGCATGGTTTGATGGATTTTTCACTTACGTTGATGTTTGATATTGAACGTCTATCTTTGTTTACGATAAGTTTATTTTGATAAATTGCATATCGTTTGATCATTTATTTCTTATCGATGCAGCTGAATGTTTCATTGATTGGTGGCAATCGATATAGTCATGCAACGTGCCCATCTTGCCTCACACTAGTATCTGATTTGTATGTTATGCATCCTAAGCAAGAGCCTACCTTAACAAAAATCTACAAATTGGGCACTATTAAAAATACAATTTAATATTTAAGGTGCGTGATAATTGTTTTTATTTTTCAAATATATATTTTTTTCAGAATAAAATCTACCCAATCCTCTACATGTGAAAGGAACGAAGGCAATGGAAATGGCTAGAGGAAGAACATCTATGATCCATGGTCATTTGTATTTTTAGTGTTAGATTGGGCTACATTTTCAATTAGATTGGGCACAAACCACAGAAGAAGACTTTTGATAGGTCATCTGTAAAACCCAAAAAGGGCACTAGAACAATTGAAAGCAATTATCACATAATGGAAAATCCTGCCTTCGTAAATTAATACTTGAATAAGACATGCAAACATAAACATAGCAAAATTGCATTGGTATAGTCGTTAATGTATCTACATATTTAACACACTCAAGCTCAATATCTGATACTTCATCATTCAAAAATGAATCCTAAGATACTTCAACAAATCACTAAAAGTGCAACCTAAACTAATTTCTCATCATCAGAAACATCAACTTAGAAAGAGGCAAAGAAAATACAACCTACTTTTCTTACAACTAGATAAGCTTAGGTTATTAAAGTTTTGCCAAATTGACTAGTTTGGTTTTCATTTCTCAATCCCTCAAAATACCTATGTTGGATGGCTAATCGTCTTCGGAGGTACGGCCAATGTTTCAAAAAGGCCATCCATCTATTTGTGCCCATTCTCATTGAAAACGTAGCACAATCTAACACTAAAAATACAAATGACCATGAACCATAGATGTTCTAACTATAGCCATTTTCATTGCCTTCGTTCCTCTCACATGTAGAGGATTGGTTAGATTTTACTTTGAAAAATAAAAACAATTATCACGCACCTTAAACATTAAATTGTATGCTTTAATAGTGCCCAATTTGTAATTTTTTGTTAAGGTAGGCTCCTCCTCAGGATGCATAACATACAAATTAGATACTAGTGTGCGGCAAGATGGACACGTTGCATGACTATCGATTTTGCGATTGCCGCCAATCAATGAAACATTCAGTTGCATCGATCAGAGATAAATGATCAAACGATATGCGATTTATCAAAATAAACTTATCGTAAACAAAGATAGACGTTCAATATCAAACATCAACGTAAGTGAAAAATCTACCAAACCATGCACGATGTTATCAACATAAACTTTTGCAAACATAGGTAGACGTTAAATATCAAAACATCAAGTACTAACATTAACATATATTCAAACCATGTACAATGTTATCAAAATAAACTTTTGCAGAGACAGATAGACTCAAATATACGAATATCAAGGTACAAGAACAGATAATCAAACCATTTATGATGTTATCAAAATAAACTTTTACAAACATTGATAGACATTAAATATCAAAACATTAATGTACGAGAACAAACATATAATCAAAACATGTACAATGTTATCAAAATAAACTTTTTGCAAACTAGTTTCCCAGTCTATAGAGTTGAAAAAAAAAGAGAAGGAAAAAAAAAAGAAATCAATGCCTAAGCGAAGGAACAAAAATAAAAAAAGAGTAATCATACACAAAACATTTCTAAATAGCGATTTTCTTTATAGGAAATCAGTTTTTAACATATACTATTTCTTCCTTGCTAAGCATCTTGATATGCCACAGAG